CTTGGAATAGGCCAATATCTCCTCCGAACCCAGATTCCCATCTAATACTCCAGCTGTAAAATAAAAAAAAAAATAAGTACAGAATATGCTGCATAAAAGCGCCTTTGCTGATGCGAGACGCCGGGTTTCAATTCCGTTCCACGGGCTTGAAGATGATGCTGCATCCCAGATCTAGTAATGGAAGTTAAGAGTGTTTGCTGTCTCTTGTGTGTGTGTGTGTGTGATGGCTCCAGAACGCCAAGTGAATATGTGACCCATGTGACGAAGAAATCGTCGGAAAGAATGTGGCTGGAAAGACAGACTTCTTCCCCAAGTGAGACTTCAGGGTCTCACTTACACGATCACGAGCTGAAGAATTGTCTCCCACTACATAATCGTGCACGCCCCGACGGTTCGACCCCGCCTCCGACCGCCGTTACCGCCCTCCTCCTCGTCGGCATGCAACATTTGCGCCTCCCTCGCTCTTCGTCTGCGCCGGCGGTGACCGGCGCCCGTGGTCCCGGCTTCCTCGCTCGCCTGCATGTAATCGGCCCACCGGTGCTCGAGGCGGTTGGCGGCAGCGAGGTCCCCGCGGAGCACGCGCTTCATGTGCTCGTCGACAGTCATCTGGAACTTGTAAAAGCACTTGAGGCCAATGGCCTCGGACGCGTAGGCGAACTTGCCAATCTCGGCCATGGACGGCTTGGACTGCGCGTTGCGGAAGAGGACCTCGCGGATGCCGGTCCAGGTGACGTTTTGGCAGTCGTAGACGACCATGTGCAGGCCGACCTTGGGTTTTGGCTTGACGGCGTTGCTCTGGGAGCGGTTGCTGACCATGAAGGCCGCCTCGGCGAGGACAAGGTCGCTGATGCGGGTGTTGTCGAGATCGATGGCCCGGAGGCTGACGCAGTTCTTGACGATGGGGAGGACGCCGCTGTCGCCGAGGTTCTCGCAGTAGCTGATGGAGAGGTGCTCCAGCCACGGCGCGCAGGGTGCCTTAGCCAGGTGTTCTGAGAAGAGGGCGTTTGTGAGGTCGGAGAGGTCTTCGAGCTCAATGTGTGTGAGGCGCGGAGTCGATGCGAAGATTGGCTCCAGCGCGGCGTCCGTGAGGGCGGTGCAGCCGGACAGGCGCAGGCCCTGGAGTTCCGGGACGTTGTATCCCAGAGCCTTGACGCCCTGGGAAGTCAGACGGGCGCAGCGGCTGAGGTCGAGATGACGCCATTTCCTCGGGGGAACGATCGGTCGGTCGGTGAGGATATCGATTTCGGGGTCTTCGCCGTGAACCATGACCTTGAGCGCGCGGTCGTTGAGCTCGGCACAGCCGTTCAGAACCAGTCTTTCCAGCCTGTTCGTCTTGTATATCGTTTCGGCGACCTCGAGATTGTCGAATCCTCTGACCTCTCCCGCTCTCAAATCCTTCAACCTCGGACACCCTTCGATTACTGCCTTGATACCTCTCGCGTCCATATGTACGCACCATGAGACGTTGAACATCTCCAGCTGCGGACATGACTCGGCAATGATTTTGCACGACATGTTGGTGACCGCTGTCAAACCAGTCAAATTGAGCTGAGCGAGCTTATCGTTCGTTCTCAACAGGCTGTGTAACGTGTTGCGCTGGAAGTTGCGGCATCCCTCGAGCGTCGCGTTGACTAAGTTCTTGCAGGCCTTGACGACTACCTCGGCCCTCTTATAGTGTTCGACCTGAACGCAGCCCCTGAGGTTGAGGTCCTTGATGAAGGGCCCAGCGGCTACGATGATTCTTGCAAGAGATTCGGCAGGGATGATTTGGTAAAATTCCGTGGCGTCAAAAGACGTCCAAAGCTGCCCATCAAAGCAGATCTTGTGGAAAGTCTTGCTAACTCGTGAAGCTCGTACAAGCTGTTTGGGTGATAGATAGGAGAAGATGTGCACGCGCATCTCGTGTGGCATGTTCTCCCAGAAGTTGAAGCCACGCTTGGGAACCGCGGGGTTGGCAACCTGGGCTTTATTCGTCGTCCTTAAATCGGATGGGAGTCCAATGGTTTGGGCTCCCGGTGATTGCGTAGTAGGGAAGACATTGTCGACCCGGCGAATAGCAAGTCGGCCATCAATGCCTACGAACTGGATGATTTCGCTAGATGGTGTTCCTGGAACGGAAGATGAGGCACTGACATAGCCTGATGCTGTTGCGCCTGCGGGGAAATAAGAGTCGCCAGTGAACGAGGTCCCCGCGGTTGAGGGTCCTGCCAAGCTCACGCAGGAAACGTTCCCCCTCGGACGTTGAGGATTGCTGTGTGATCTAGTGCGGCCACTCCTCGCCAACGAAGGCGTAGACGACATTCGTTGCACACCACAGAGCACGCGGTGCCGGCCTTTGGCTTTTCCTGAGGGATTTGAAAGGCCTGGGCCTTGCTCATCAACGACTTCCATAGGAGCCGGACCGGCGGGGATTTCGATGTCAGCCATAGCGAAGACTTGACCAAGTGAGATAGCTGGTTGAAGGACAAAACGCCTCTAGACAAGGAACAGAAGACGTCGAATAATGCTGTAATTTTTTTGCCACAGTCAAACTGCGACCGAGTCCGTTTTCTCAAAGTTGCGCAATTTCTCCCAGTATCGTCTTTGTTGGCGAGGTTAGGTAGCGCGGGGCAGTGAAGCTGAGCTCGGTGGTCCACGTCTTAGTCCCGGTGAGTTGAGGAAAGGCTCGGAACGGTCGGCGGATGGTCCTATTTCATATTCGACGTCGCAAGAGATGATCGCAGGCACACAGAGAAACAGACGAAAGACAGGCCAAGTCTCTAGGAAGACGGATGAGACATGAAGCGCGAGTAATCGGGGAGAGGTTATGGTCTTGAAGGCTGTCGGCTCTCTTAGAAGGGGGGTCAGGATGGAGGGGTGGCCAGGGTCCAGGAATTTTTGGTGGAGATCTGCTATCTGAACGGGTGTGAGCCGGCTATCGATAATGGAGGTCAGCCGGTGCAGGTAGCGGGGTGTGGAGCCTCAGAAGGCTGGAGGAAGGAGTCCTTACGGGTTGGGGCGGAGCACATGGCACACCGAAGACTCAAGATATCATGGCCTCTGATTCCTGTGTGGAAGGTCACACGAGCAGGATGTGTCTGGGACACGAACAAGGCTGCGAAGAGTGAGAGAGGGGATGGTGAGAGGGTGGCAGTTGAAGAAGAAGAGAAGAGGTCGGCGGATGGGGGGGCTAAAAGAGAAAGAACAAGAAAAAAGTTGTCGAGTCGAGCGGAAACAAAACCACTCACACATGGAACGACCGACACAATACCTTACTGTGGTAGACCGCACCGAAGGCCGGGTAAGGGGAGTAAGTAGAAGCTTAAAACGCGCTCTGGACGGAAGCACAAAACGGCCCTCACACCCCCCAATCCCATCCCATCCCATCCCACCATCCATCCCCTTTGTGTCGGCGAAACAAGGACCCTCCTTATCGATGGACACCGATGGGTCCCGGGTTCGCCATACATAATGCCCATCACTCACACCAACGGGTCAGTCTGACGGTCGACAGTGCTCGTAAATGCCTCCAGGGCCAAGGGTCTGAAGATGGCCACTGGCGATGTTCTCGTGTCTCTCTACCTTGCATTGCTATGCACATACAGCAGGCTGTTCGGGATTTCGGCTGCTTGGAGCCAAGACTTGGGAAACAAAGTCCCCGCCGAAACGGATGGAGCTGGCTGGGATATTCTCACCTGCCTTTCTAGCCGGATTCAATAGCTCTGTATAGCTGGGGGAAAGGCATGGCGGCGGAAAAGAGTCTGGAAGCAGAAGCCACCGCCAGTACGAGCAAAGAGGCACAGTGAGGGCCAGGCCAGACCAGAGGAGGCAAAAAAAAAAAACCAGGCAAGACATGGGAACTCAGAGAAGTCGACAGTAGCGGCCGAAACGCAAGAAAGATACCTCTGCCGTGAGGTATCCACATGGTGCATCGTGCGGGGCCCGTGGCCCGGCGCAAAGAGCGGGCAGGTGGGGGAAGGACGAGGGGGGAAGAAGGAGGGGTCCGCCCGGAGTGCAGACAGGAAAGCCCTCTCCTTCCTCGATGTTACCCTCTCCAATCGTTACGGCTGCTGGTGAATAAAAATGGATCACAGAAGATCCTGGCTCCACTTTACACAGCCATTCAGACCGCTGCTGACTGACACCGCACTTGCCCCCCCAAGACCCCCAAGAGGCGGGAGCGAGAGCATGACATGAGCACTTGTCCAAGTCACCTTCTTCCTTTTCGTGGCACCATCACCATCCCTTATCCCGCCATTCTTTCAGTCAACTGACGTGCAATCCGACGAGACAAATTCTCAGAAGCAATCTATCTGCCTTATCATCACCGCCAGGTCATGGTACGTCAGGCACAACACGGCTCGTCGACCATACCTCGTTCATGCTCCGAAAAAGACACACTATGTCCTGCTGCAATCAGCAACATATCGCAGGGTCCTCCGCCTCTTGAGGGTCTACAATAAGCAGGGACCTGAACACCAGATCTGCAGGACGAATCCTGAGCGGTACCCAACAGTCTCTAGCTCGCTAGCGTGTTGGCTGGACCCTTGAACTCTTGAACGCACTTGGTGTGGTGTATCTGAACCGACTAGCAAGTTGCAGCACGGCTTTGCCGTTTCTATCATCGCTCATTGGAGGAACTTGCTCCTCACTTCTCCAACCGCCATCGCCCTCGCCGGGACGTTCAAGGCGTCTTTCCGCTCACTGTCTGCACGGCCGCGGCGCCGTCTCTCGAGCCTGTCAGAGCATTCCCACAGTCCTTCCTGGGACCACTTGCGTTGCGGATACTTTTGTCTCTTCTCCATCTGAAGTCGTTGTTGGGAATAAGTTGCCGATTGTCCGACTCGGGGAAACAACTGCACTCGAAACTGGCGGGAGCGAACTGACTCGTCAAGATACAAGGTCAAATAAGTTACGGATATGCCAAGCTCAGATTTGGCAGGACGTTTCTGTTTCTGATCGATTTCGGTCAAGGAACATGTGGTTGGGTGCGAGGCAAGCACCTGGGTCGGTTGCTGCTCTTAGATACCTTTCCTCGTGCCAAAGCTGACATGGAGCATGTCTTTGGTGTCCCAGCCTCCCCGCAGACGGCATTCGATCCGACTTTTGCCTGTCGGAGGAGAATGCCATGTTGGCGGCCGAACCCCGTCTTTTTCTCTCTCCCTCGCTCTTTGCCATGGCTGCATCCGAACAACCTTAGACGGGGAACATTCTCTGGAACCCGAATTCGGAGGTTTTGGCGGGGCTAGCACTCCCGCTCCACGTTTACGAGAGACACGGTGACAATCGGATCTGTCTTCAGGATCCTTTCTTTCTGGAGATCCTCGCCACAGCTCTTTCGAGAGCTCCAAGAAAGCCGTGCGGCTGGTAGATAGCTGCTTAAGAGGCAAGCGCTGCAAATCTTCCGCCATGATCGGTCCGGATTCTGACCCGTCAGTGGGACCAGCACTGTTCGTCTGAAGCTTGGCCGAAGCTGACATCGCCGCGCTTTGTTTGGAAGGCACATGTTCTTCTTTCTAGCCGGTTGATTTTGCAGTCTTGGCAGGGTCGCGAGTCTTTGGCAGATCTGCATTCAGATCCGTCATGGCAATCTGATACTACGATCCTGAACACGTTCACGAGTTTTCCACGCCCTAGCCCCGTTTTGTCAATGCAGCGGCTCTAGCACCACTAGACACACATTCGCTTGGTCGCCTGATGCAGCTCAGCCCGAAAATCGGAATTCTGCGTACCGTCATGACATATCATGCGACCCGGGTACGAGATAAGAACGTAGCAAGCGGTGAGCCACGCGACACCTCGTCACAGACTCTAGTTATCTAAGAAGATCGCAAAGTATGCCCTAGTACAGAGAGAACGCTCTTCTCATGCCGCTCTCTTGTCTCGGTACCCTCCACAAGATACGACTCTACCGCTCATCGACTCCTTGCCAAGTGATCTCCATTATGTAGTCTGGTGACCGGCTGTCTCAAACCCCATCCGTACAAAAGCTACACTTTGAGGCAGATTGACAGTTTCTCGACTACGCAAATCGCGAATCTGTCAAACTAAACGGACAATGCTTCGTTGTCTTGGATGCGACAGAGACAAATCGCATCCGCTCACCCATACCTGGATAGCGAGTGTCACAGCTTTGATGCAGAACCCGAACCGTAGGTCGGTCGTGCACTTACTTTCTCAGCTTACCTTGCCTCGGGACGAAAGGAAAGTTTTACTACTAGCTGCTGTGGTCAATATAAACCACGTGCTGCTCATGTACTTAAGGTACCTTACGATTGCCGATAGCTTCCGATAAGATAACAGGTACGCATGTGTTCTGGACCGGCCGCCACAGGTACCAGGAGCTTAGGTAGGTATGTAGAGCAGCCCATCGCTAATATGTTCCGGTAACTTGGTTACAACGGGAAACGACCTCGAACCCTGCTAATATCTTGGCAGATAATGCCAGCTCGTTCACTTGATTTCCGACTCTCCCGCGGCGTCGTCAGGGTTGTGTAGACTTGTTGGTGGTACATGCGAGACCGAGAAGGAGACTAAAGAAAGTCGCTGTGCTGTCATAGCAAGCTCGATGGGATTGGAATTCTTCGATTCCAGCAAAGAGAACGCCAAATGCGGGGTTGCCGGCAAGCCTGGAAAGCGACCATGTCGCCGAAATTCTCGTCAACACACTGCGCGTGTTGCTCACCTAGCTATCGTGCCAATCACGATTCACTGAGACCACAACCTACCTAAAGTAACAAGAGGATCAATGAGTTGCCGTCACGATTCCAGCAATGCTGCGTTCGCAAATGACATTATTCAACCAGTCAAGACCATGGCCTTGTCTCTGTTCGTACCTTGAGCCTACTTTCCGTAAAGACGGAAGTACGGCTCAAGCATAGACAAAGATAACTTGGTGAAGGGCACTGCCGAGGCGCCGCTTATTCATTGACTCTAGAATCGTCCTGATCCAAACGGCCAGCTTGCCAATGTTTTCCTTCCTGGTTTTGCTCAGAGACGGGTAAGCAAGACCTGATCATGTCAGGGAGGCACATCAACTGCTCAGTCGCTCTGACGGGGTTGTTTGCAACGACCCCGACTCTCTTATTTCCGGCTTTTGCGGTTTGAATCGATGGTGTTGGTGAAGAGGCTCACAGATACCTCAATTGGAGAACACGCTACTCTGTGCTTGATATGTAAAGCATGGTAGATGACAACTTGGGTCTGGGCAGTTAGCAGGAGGTTGCGTTGCCACTGATGCTACGCCTTGAAAAAAGATATCTACAGGGATTTGCCCCGTTGTTCTGGTGGTTGGTGGGCGGACGACGGAATGTGTGTTTTTTTCATCGTCGGCAGCTATTAGCTGGCTTATCTTTTCCCTGCTCGTCCGTTTTCTCGTCTCAATTCCGGCGGTTCGGCAGGAGAAGAGCGTCGATAACGTTTGTTTCGGATGGCGAGTAGGGCAAGTCGAACATGGAGAGTCTACGGATAAGAGGCATTGCCCAATGAGTATCAAGCATGTTTGGGAAGCGTTGGGCGGCGGGCCACTCTAGGCGATGATGGCTCAACAGCGGCTTCAGTCAGGCACTGTAATGCCGGCCTTGGCTGCGGCAATGTGACGTATCCCAGGATAAGGTATGCTGTCCCTTTCTTCGCTGGTGTTCTCCCCGGGAGATTGGGGCCGCTCAATGTTGACGTGGTGGGTCCGCCGCCGGTCCAGCTGAAGAGCTTTGCTGCTTCACGTGCATGTCCCCTCCAGGTCTGCTTCAGGTGAGGTGGTGGATAAAGTGAGTGAGTGAGTGAGTGAGTGAGTGAGTGAATGTGTGATGAGACTGAGCTTCAGCATGAAGTGAGGAGTGAGATAGGTACAGCTCGATGAATGTGAAGGGTACGGGCTTCAGGCGTGCCCCCCACTTTGCAGCCATGTTTTCCAGGGCCACTGCCGCATATTAAGCCCCCCAATCAGTGATGCGTTTGCTTTTCGAAGCTGTAAGTCAAGCTTGCAACTCATGTTGTGCGCCCACCAAAGCTGCAAATAACTGCGCGAGGTTCGGAATTCGAGGGGAGGGTTTTTCTGGAGAGGGAACAAGGGGTTTTACGAGGTTACTTGACGCCAAAGGTGGGCGGTGCCGTGTATGATAAAGTAGAGAGAAATAGGCAGATTTGGTAGCAAAAGTTGTGTACTCCGTACGCAGATGCATCTCAAAATTTTCGATGACTGGAGGCAGAAAGTGGACTTGTGTTTTTTTCCCTCCCCCGCCCTCTCTTCCTATCCCTCAGTCTTTATGGTTTTCCATCCCTCGTCCCCATTCCCTAAACTTATTCCTCTTCTACTTGTTCATCAAACATACTCATCCTGAAGCGAACCATCTCAACTTTGGCACCGAGCGAGCTTGTGCTGCCCTCTGTCCCGTCGTCCTTTCCCTCGTCTTCATCGCCCGCCAGCTCCGCCGCCCACGCCGCTCCCTCGTCCGTGACGTGCCACCACCCACTGTTACCTACAAGGCCCTCCGGCATCATTGGATTCGCTTGACGAGTGGGAATTTTCCAAGCATTCGAAGGACCGCCCCTCACTTTTCGGACAAGCATCTGCCGCAACATTGTGGACTTTTGACTGAACCGCCCAGGACCGTGGACGCCACAGAAAACCAATCCCGGGGGCTTTCTGTCACTTTTCCAGCTTGTTGTCTTAGGTCATCTTGTATGATTACGGCAGACGATTCTTTCACGAGGCCAGCTGCACGTGGGTGTTAAAGCCAGTCACTCGCCTTGCCTTGGAAGACGGACGACCACTCGCTTCTCTACGCCCCTCCCGCCCGTCCTCCTCTGCCTGACTCTCTGTCTTGTTGCGCTTGTCAACGGCACAGAACCAGAGTGGGATTTTCGAGTGATTAAGGGAAGAAGCCAAGAGACACATAGAGAAAGGGTAAAACAGATTGTACCCAAGGCAGCCCAGCAACACCCAGCACTCTGCACTCTATCCGCACCGGTACTGGAGCACTCCTGAATCCAGAGTCCAGAGTCCAGCACCACCAAGCAGGGACATCCGGTTGCGGCATTGACACCGGCACTGACACTGGCATTGGCATTCTGGCATTGGCGCGCTGGCACTGAGGTGGCACTAGCACGGGACGGCGAGACGACTCACGTTCCCTTTCCTGGCCGTTCGGTGAGTTGAATTGGACCGGACTGGACCACCGCCAGAGCAGGTCCGCGTCTCTGCTTCCTGCTCCTGCTGCTGCTCCTGCTCCGTCTGTCTGTCTACCTGACTACGTTATTGCCGGATTTGCTGCTACTTACTTGCTTGCATTTTGCCTGCTCTACGGATACCTTACCGTACCGCACCTGACTAGTACCACAACTGCTTTGCTGCTCGCTACACGGACCAGCTTCTTCAGCTTCACCTTTACCTACAATCTCTCTCTCTCTCTCTCTCTCTCTATCTCTCCCCGACCGCTTGTTGCTGGATCGGTCCATCAATCCTTCCTGAAAAGCCTCCCTCCCTCGTTCGCCTTACTCTATTCTGGTCGGACCACCAGCATTGCAGCACCAGCGCCAACGCCGGCACCACCAGCAACCAAAGCAGAAAAACAAAAACGTTCCTTACCGCACACCCACCCGTCGAAGACTCCCACACTCTCATCCTTGTGGCAAACCTTGCCCACCGAGCCTGATCGATCTACCTAACTTACCTCACCACTGATTGACTCCCTGCCTCACCTTACCTGCCCGAGGTATCTTCTGGGCAGCAGTTCCATCCGTACCTCATTTACCTCCCACCTTAGCCGGAACAGCCACTGTCGTACAGCAGCACCATACCTTAACTACCTTACCTTTCGGCCAGCAACACACCTACCTACTGCCGGTACTGCCATTTGCTCCCTCCCACCACCACGTCCCAGAGCAGACCAGACCGCACCCCGATACCTCCCAGAACGAATCTCGCTCCTCGACCCCGCCGAATCCGAGCCTGCATCGTCGAATCCGCCTCTTGCCCGCATTTACTTAACCCTGACATTTGTCTGAGTCGACTGCCTATCTTTCTTCAACTATGCTACAGACGCATGGGGGACCTCACAACAATGGTACGTCCTTCGGCCACCCAACACAGAGTCCGCCTCCCGTCTCTCTCTCCTCAGACCCACGAAATGTTCCTCCCTCTCTAACACAGGCCTTTCCATGGCTCGCAGGCACCGATTCACATCACGAAGAACCTCGCGGAAGGAGCAGAACCCCAACAACACAGCTGCAACTCCCCAAGAACCGAAGCACCGGAAACCTCGCCGTTATAACCGACGACAACAACACTGGCCGCGGTCGAATGCGGTTTTCCTTCGATGCCGGATCTGTCGCAGACGGCAGCGACCATGTGCCACCAAGGTTGGTTCTTTCCCAACGATTACACCGTGATATTCCTTGAACGGCAAAGCTGTTGAGCTGATTGCGAGCTCATGGAAGAGTCGGGCGTTGAAGAATGCCAAGGCAAGCGTCTCGGCGACGAAACAGAGGGGGCTTTAATGTTTGGGATGCGCCAGGTCCGCGTGAGCGCATCACGGCATGGCTCATGCCAATGGCCAAACCAAGTGGGAGTCGAGCGTGAAAACAACCCGAGATATGGTATTTCGGCAAAAGAGGCAGCAACAATTTGAGTGTGGCTTTGCTTGGCGACAAGCTCGAAGGATGTCACTTACGGGTGCGGCTGCACCATAAAAGATGTCACCAGGTGGCAACTGGTCCATCACATGGCAGTCTATAGTCATTTGAGGCATCATCGTGCTGACAGGCCTTTTTCCAGTCATAGATCCTCCATTGTAACAGACCACGACCATGGCCTCGGTCTATCCGGATTGCGACGAATTCGACAACAACCGTCTTCGCGAGCTCCCTCCGCAGCCCCTTCCAGAAGCTCCTCCATCGGTCTATCGAGATCAACATCTATGACAACACTACTCGCGAACCCTCCCGGCATGCCGTTTAGCTCTCATCCATCGTCACCTAACTTCTCCGAAGACCTCTCCCGCTTCCCCTCCGAGTCATTACACTCCTTCTCTTTCGCCCACCAGTCCGAGGAGTATATACACAACCGGCAAAATGTCCTCAAGCGATCCATAGAATTCATGAAAGACCGGATGGGATGGTCCGTTTCACCCTCCAACGTTGCGCTTGCGAGCGCCCAGGCAAGGGCCTCCGGGGACGTCGAGACTCAGAACATGCTGGACTTGCTGGCTAGGGCACAGCTTGTCGGAGCGGGCAACCTTCCATCCATGGATCAATCCATCCTCGGTCCTTTGACGGGCCCCCCGCAAGTTTCGGGGGAGAATCTCTTTGAAGCGAACTTCATTCCTCGAACATCAAGCCCTGAACCCTTTCAGTCTCCCAGTCAGTCTCCAACTGCGACCCAATTTGCAACATTTGCCCCGAACGACCGACCGTCAATAAAGCAGCAAGATGAAAATCAGAAAGTCGCCACGGGCGACAGTGAATCGGAAAACTCGAGCAGGACGCCGACGAACGAGAGTGGAACAACTGCAAAGACATCCCCGCCGCCATCTCGAAGACTTAGCCTGAAGCGAACGCTCACAGATACACTACCGGTCTCGGTTCACCAGCAGCTCATCGACACCATGGCACAACCCTATCTGGCAGCTCAAGAGATGCTAGCTTCACCAACAACCGCGAACATGCCAAGTGCACTTGGCCCGGCTGTGCATGGACACTCGACACGGTGGGTCCCAGCAGCGCAGGCCATTTTCACAACAGAGTCAAAACCGCCATGGACGATTATCGCGGCCAACGACCTTGCTTGCTTGGTTTTCGGAGTCACAAAGGCTGAAGTGCGGCGGATGGGTATTCTAGAGGTCGTTCAAGAAGAGCGGAGAGATTGGTTGGAGAAGAAACTGCTGCAGATGGATCCTGAAGACACTACCAAAGAGGCGGAAGATATTCCGAAAACAGCGACACCTGCACCAACGGTTTCTGCTGCTTCGACAACGTCAACGTCACTTCTGGGCGGACGAGGTGGGATTACGGCACAGCTCTTGAGCAAGCCAAACTCCAGATCACAGCCCCCGAAAGTTGTCACTCGCAAGGCACAAACCGTTCACAGTGGAGATCCCAGCCCGCCCAAACTCAGGGGAAGCTCACGGCACCAAAGCAGTCGGTCGAGAGGCGTCCTTTTATGCGGTGATGTGGTTCCAATCCAGAAACGAAACGGTGCGACGGGTTCCGCCAGTTTGTGGGTAAAGGAGAAGCGGGTTGGTCTCATTTGGGTCCTTGAGGAAATCCACGAAGATGTAGCTCAGATTGAGCTGGACGACGACGGCATTGTCCAGAAAATTTCAGGAGCCACAGCACCAATTTGGGGCTTTGAGTCACTGAGACCTGGCGTGGATATCGGCAAGCTGATCCCACGCATTCCTCGGCAAGGCATCGACCCTCGCACTGGCGAAGTAGACTTTGCGCAGATTGCGAGGCGTAAGTTTTTCACATGCCCAAACCCAAGCAAAGTCAACATTCCCTGCAGCGTCGAGCAAGTACGGGGCAAGACAGAGCTACGCGTCTCGAGCTTCCCGCATATTGCAGGGATCATCGTCGTGGACCCAGAGACTCTGAAGATTCAAAGCTCAAATGCGGTCTTCTGCGGCGCTCTGTTTGGCTACGAAAAGCCCGACGGCATGGCCATTGACTCTTTGGTGCCCGACTTTGAAAAGATTCTCCATATTCTGACGGAAGAGGATGGTGTTCAACTGCAGGATGGGATTGTGGTGCCAGAGCACAGCTTCCGCCGGGCGTCGGCGATTCTGGGTCTTCGGGAAAATCGCCCGGATGCGGCTGCGAGTTTCTTGCGGCCGGACGGCGTACCCGGAAAGCACAGGGATGGGTCAGAGCTCAAGGTTGACGTGCAGATGCGGGTGGTCAGAAGCGCAAAACAATCCACCGTAATCCAAGAGACCGTCATCGAGGACGAGGACGAAGACAAGGACGGGGACAACCAGGACGACTCTTTCTCTGTCACCCACTCAGAAATGGTCTTCGCTCTCTGGATTACTTACTCCAGGCACATGCACGCCGCCCGGTCAACGCTCGGTGTGACGTCGGCGTCCGCCTCTGGAACGACAACTCCCTTGCATCAGCCATCTCCTGGGCAGACACCGGCGCACACCCCACTGGAGATTAGCTCGGATTCCGATGAGCCAAAACCTAGAGAGTCTTCGTCGTCGACGGCATCTGCCATCACCAAACAACTCAAGGAAGTCGCGATGACGGCCGCTGCAAAGTTGACCGGCTCACAGCGTCCCACGGACAAGAAGCAGGAAAAACCATCCGTGCCAAAGGTTATTGAGCCAGCACAGCAGAAAAAGTCCATCAATGACTTCCAGATCCTCGAAGACATGGGCCAGGGCGCTTACGGTCAGGTCAAATTGGCCAAAGATAAGAAGACGCAGAAGAAGGTGGTTCTCAAGTACGTGACCAAGCGACGTATCCTTGTAGACACGTGGACGAGAGATCGCAAGCTCGGC